ATGATCTTAAGTCAGCTTCCTTGAAAGCAAACTTTGAGATGGAAATTTGCATGCAGGGGGTTTATTGGATTATATCCCCAGGAGCCATGCCTGTAAAAGTGTGAGGGAGGCAGGACTTGGCTAAACAAGCAGATCAAGGGAGCACTTGCGGCTAAAGCCTGGCCACCCCACCGAGAGCATGAAGCTGAATTGTCCCTTTAGAGTTGTCCCAAATTAATTTTAATGGAGTAATATCTATCAGCCTTTCACCTTCTGGTTTTTGTGCCTTTGGGATTATAGTTAAGAAATTATCCTGAACTGAAGGTAACAGATAGATTTTTAAAATATTTTCTTCTATTCATTTATATAATTAATTAACCATAAATAAATAAATAATAAAGACAAATTGTCTGATTTATCTAAACTAACAAAGCCTCCTGGACACAATATCACACTTTGAAGTTGTTGTCCTTGCCTACCTCAGGTGGTTCTTGGGATTTTTGAGGAATTTTGAAGCATGAAGAAGCTTTCGGAGACTAGATGGACAGTGTCAGTCTAACTTTTCAAAAGAAAATAGAAAATAAATTTCAAAATGAATTATTAAAAAAAAGACAGTTTAAGAATATCCAGAAAAGGTAGCAGAGAATTTAAAACCCAGAGTGAGTTCTGTAAGAGCATGTCATGTCAGACTTGTCTACTTCTTTCTTTTTTAAGTAAGGATTTGAGATTGGTAGATTAGAAAAGTATATTTCTGGATTTCATTTATGCATTCTGAAAAAAAAATCATATCACATCACTTCGTTTCATATCACATACCATATCATATTATACCCTAAGATATATTAAGAAATGATAAAAGGGTTCCTAGGCAGATAATAACTTGGGGAAGGAGCCAAAGATTTGGACCAATGATAAATTGGAGAGAAGTTTCTAGTGAACCTCCCCATGGCTCTAATTTCAGCTCAGTGCTAGTCAAAATTTTAATCAATGGCTTCTATGAAGACAGGAGCCATAGTCATCAAATCTGTGGCTGACAGGAATTTGGAAAGGGTAGCAAATATTCTAGATGACAGAATCAGGTCCATAAAAATTCTTGACAAGCTGAAAGTATGGAATGAGTCCAAAATGATAAAATTTAACCAAGGAGATGTAAAATCCTATATTGGGTTTAAAAACGCAATCTCACAGTCATAGGATGAGACCATTATAATGTAGAAATGGTGATTGTGAAGGGTACATCTTTCTGTCTATCTATCTATCTATCATGTAGGACGTGAAGAGCAAATTCCTGATAGACATCTAAGAACAAATGGAGCCGTGGCGACTGAATGTAACTGTGGGGTTTAAGGAGAAGGCACCTACTATCTTACTCTATCCTTTGGATTATGGGTTCTGGACACCATGTTGTGCTATTCTGCTTTGACAGGAGGGGAATTAGAATGTTTTTTAAAATCCCCCAATAAAACCTTCCATATAGGGAACTAGTTTAGAAGTTGGTGATGTTTACCCCAGAGAAGGTAGGCGGAGAAGAATGCATAGTCTCTGGCCGGGTATTGACAGGATGCCCTGGAGGAAAAGGCTGGCCTTTATGTTCCCTTCGAGTGTCCGTGGGGGGGGCCAAAGGTTGAAAGCTACAGAGACTGAGATTTAGTTTCAAAACAAGAAAGTACTTCTCTTCAGAGTTCACTCTGGGTGCTCGGCAACCCTGTGCCTTGTGGTAGGAGTTCCTGGTCACCAGCTGCTGGGGTAGAGACTAGATAATGATGTGGCATGCGTGTTTAAAAAAGGGCCAGATGCCATCGCCTTGGTTATTGGAGGGGATGGGGATGAGGGTTACTTTAAATCCTCAGATTCTGTTTCAGTGAGCTGAAAGCCAGAATTTCTGTGGATTTTAAGCAGGTCACTATTGGAATGTGGTCTGCTCAGAGAACAGAAAACATCCCCAAATGACTGAAAGGTCATTGAAGGATGACATTTTAAAGAAGGACCCTTTGGAAGAATTTAAACTGCTCAGGTGCTGTGCCTGTGTCTAAATATTTCTGAGATGGAAGCAACAGAACAGAACACTCCACCTCTGTCCTCTGAAAGCTGTCAAAACCCGCTCTTGGGTTCTTTATTCAAAGTCAAGCATATGAGACTTAAAAATAGTTCTGAATGTCCTCAAGTCATTCCTCTAAGGAAGAAGGTTGCTGAGGGGTTAATAAAGACACCTATTTGTTACGTACTTGCTGTATGCCAAGCGCTGTGCTAAGTACTTGATTGTATTTAGTCATTTAGTCTTCGGGACAATCCTCTAAGTGGATGTTTTCATTATTCTCAATTTCCAGATGGGAAACCAAGGCTCGGAAAGTCAATAGTCATAGTAAGTGGCAGAGAGGAAATCCCTACCCAGTTGTCAGTCTAGGAAGAAAATAATCCACATTGTTAACCACAACTAACTCTCCAAGGCAAAGAGAGGATTCTAGTTATGTGAAAGAATTCTAGAGGCAACATTGCTTGCCTTCAGCCAAAAAGCTGAGCAGAACTAAGAGTGGAATAGTCCAGACTGGAGAAGACAGTGTGGTTTAGACAACCGAAGAGACCATTGGTCAGTGTTGACTATTTTTTTTTTAATCTATCAACAGCCACGATCTGCTCACATAAATTAAGTCTTATTTTAATTGGCTCATTTGTTGAGAATCACAACGACATGTACCAATGTGGATAAACACAGAAAGGACCCAGAGGGGAGGTGGGGGATGGAAAAAGCATTTTTTACTCCTATCTCAAAAAAAAATCACACTTATTCTGATTTTTCTTTTTTTCTTGTTACAAAAGTAATATCTCCTCATTGTTAACCAAATTAGAAGGCACAGAAAATCACAAAGAAGAAGGTATCATTTGCAATCATCCCAGTGCCCAGAGGCCAGATGATGGCTGAGAACACAGTCATACACACACTCCGTCATGGAGGCTTAGATGCGCACATGCATTTATGGAAAATTACGAATATTTTTATTAAAGTGTGAACATTCCATGCACACTGTTTTGTAGTTTTGTAGTCTCTCTCTCTCGCTTCCTCCCCCTCCCTCTTTTTGTTTACCGAATGTGTGCTGTGAACATTGTTCCACCTCATCAAACTCTCTTCCACCCCATTATTTTAAGTGGCTGTGTAACATTCTCCGGCGTGCATACACCATGATTGGAATCTCATTTTTCACAAATGAAGGAATGAATCACAGGGACACTGTCCTGTAGGTCAAGCACAAATGCTTTAAGAGGAGGTGGATAGACGCTAAGGCCAGGGGGAGTTGAGGGAGCAGGGACCAGGGCTGGACTTAGGGATTTAGGAGCTTTAAGAAATGGAAGTGAGTGGATGATATTTGATGCAGGAAGAGAGATCACCCCAGAGGGAGGGAGAAGAAGATGGTGTTGGATTGGAAAGGGTATTGAGATGGGAAAAGAGTCATACACTGGGGACAGAAGAGAGACGCTGTTTGGGGAGGGGAACAGGACTCCTGGTCTAAAGAGAGGGCAGACACAGGTGTGGTTGGGGTCCTGACTGAGGAGAAGGCTGAGGACACAGCCTTGCATCTGATCTGCCGTGTACAACCCCATGATCATGCTGCCCCTGTGGCCCTCTTAAGAAGTCCACTTGTGGGAAAGCCTGAACCTTGGCTGTGGTCCTGAGGGCTAATTGTCCCAGAGAAGAGTTACAGAGATTATGCAAAGATGTGTCTCCTTGTGATTCTCCAGTGGTCAAACAGTGGAGAATGGTGGGAAAGAAAAGGAGACCTTGCCCCTTGGACCCCCTCAAAGTGCCTGGGAGCCACTGGCTGTCCTCTCTCTTTCTTGGCAGTCCTCCCCCACTCTCAGTGACCAGCTTGTGGGCTGTTCTCTCCATGAGGGGCTCCTGGTCTTCAGGTGAAGATGAGTGCCAAGAGGGCACTCCTGGAGCCCTTGTGGCCACGCTGCCCATCCCTCAGTAGGAGGAACCCAAGACCAAGTGTCTTAGGAGTGAGCCTGAGGACCCAGAAGGAGGCCAGAGGCCTGGCAGCCAGAATATGCAGCAGGAGGTGGCAGGGGTGTTTCAAAGTGCCTCCTTTTGACCTGTCTTTAAAGTATGTCTGAGGAGGATCTCCTCAGTTTCCTCGCTCTGGTCAGTCCTTGTGAATAGCATGAAGGGGAGCAGAATGGGGGCCCCAGAACTCCTATTTGCCCTCATCAGTCCTGTCCAGTTAACTGAACTCAGGGCAACTAGTTGACATTAACAAGGGCCTCGAGAGACCTGTGGAGACATGGCAGGGTATAAGATGGACCAGGTCTCTGGCCCTCTGGCCCCTCCAGCCCATTCTTTCTCTGATATGGAAAATCAACTTATCAAAACAAAGGGGTGAGAATCACAGAATCAGAACCAAAGAAAACAGTTTTATGGCTCACATATGACTGGCTTTGACAGCCCAGGGCATCTATTTCCATAACAGACATCTCCCTGTCAGAAGGACGGACACTCATCCCAGCCTGACAGGCAGCCATGGAAGAGGTCTCTCTTCTGGGAAGGCACAATACAATTGATTAGATTTCTTCTTACCAAATTACAGTCTCACTCCATTTTTTTTTTTCTCTCTCAGATTGCTCCCAGATCGCCTTGACTGGAGTTTTGGGTGCTCCCAAACACTCCAGTCACACAATTACAGATAATCTCTGCATTTACTTTCACGGTTGCCTAATCATTTCCATTGTGTGCGGATTTTACTAGGTTTAACTCTCAGGGAACAATTGCATTCCCTCATCATCCAGTTCTTGGGGCCCTCAGCATCTCACTGTCACTCTGGAAGACTGCACACACAGATAGGAAAGCAGTTAGAACTATCTACGGTTATTCAAACACTGGGGTACGTCATCATTATATGTTGTTAATAGCAAAGCCAAACCCCAGATCTCAGCTTTCAGACTGAGGCCTTCCTCACCAGCGAAGTCTTCTCTTTGATCACCTGGGAACAAGGACAGGCAACTATCTGGGAAGTGCAGGGGACACCTACTTGATCAGAGGTGTTCGATATTCTCTCTTCAGATTCTCTTTGGCTTCACACAGAAGCCTTATGTAGTAGCTGATCTCCCGTCGTCTGTTAACGTTAGTTGCTTCCAGTGTTGCTGCTGTCTTGTTTGGGGGCATAACATTTGTCAGTGAATTGTATAAATATTTGTTTGATGCCTACTAATTAACCAGGTAAGCACAGAAGGCCACAGCCTTAAGGTTATGGTCTTTGAAGAGAATGCCTCTGAGTATTTGACCAACAGAAATTATTAGTGATGGTAGTAAAACTGGAGTTTTGAGAGAAAACTAGATTCTCCATGTCTGCAGGCAGATGGGGTTGGTGCAAGCTGCAGGCCTCACTAATTTCTTTCTGGGCTCTTGTATCACAAATCTGAAGGCTAGAATCCACAGGCAATAATGAAAGGGAAGGGTGAACGGAATAGGATTTACTTAAGTCAGAAGAGATGGAACTCCGACAATGTGGGAGGGGACCTGATAGTGTTGTGGGGATGGGGTCTTTCAGGAAACTGAGGCAGTGTGAAGACTGCCCCCCCCCCACCTCCAAACCCTGATCTTAAGATCAAGTCAGAAAGATTTCAGACACGTCCCTTAGGGTAACAGGCATGAGTTTACTGAAGAGATAGGAAAAGGGAAAAGGGGACACCTCTCAGGTGAAACAGTGGGTCCTCTCAGAGAAGAGAGGCATGGTGTGTCTCTTCTGTACTCCAGTTTTAATGGGGATCCCAGAGAAGTTTCTAGAGAATTCCACCCAGGCCCATCTCTTGACTTTTGACAGCAGGATGACATCAAACTTTCAGCTTCCCACTGCCATGGTAACTCTAGGTCACCTTGGCCCATGCTAACCAGTTCTCATTGGATTCTTAATCATACATTTGTACAGGTTTTATAGTTGGGAGAAATTTTCCTTTTCTTCTGTGATCTGGTCAGTGAAAAGGGTCACCAAAGTCTGTCCCTTCAGGGCAACTTGGTTTCCTCTTATCAATGTTATTCTCTGCCTGCATTTACCTTGCAGACAACAGATAGTTTGCAGAGGATGTGACATCTCTTGACAGGAGGGGCTGCAGAAAATTGTTTCTCAGAAAAGAAAGCTTGTGTGTGTGTGGGGGGGGGGGCAGCACAGTGGCCCCATTTTATAGAGTTTTCCCCTTAACCCTGTGTTCTCTTCCCTCACTCGCATCAGCAGGCCATGGAATCTTCTTAGGGCTGTGGGGCGGGCTTTTTGCTTTCTAGGTATCTCAACTCATTAGGCCTCTTATTTCTGATGGCCACTGCAAAAGCTCTAAGGCAAACCCTTGAAGGCAGTTCTTGTGGTTTGGAGCAGCTGAGCCTGGACATTGATGTCAAGGCCCCTCAAGCAGGTCCTGCCATTGCTCTTGGCACCACTTATTGTCCTGTGCTTGCCCTGGACACTGCAAATCTCTCTGTGGACTTCCGGGAGATGACACATTGGCTCTTCTCTCCAGATCCCCACAGGGATGGGGATCCTTCTCCAGTGCTTCCCACAGGGGGGTCGCCATGTTGCATGACTCAGCATTTTCTCTCACAGGGAGGCTCTGGGGCCAGTCATCCTGAAGGACTATTCCTCCTTCCAGGGCCTGACCCTCCCTGGCCACGGTGCTTAATGCTTTTGCCTAGACACTTAACAAAATGGGGGCGTCCTGTTCCACTGAATGGCGTCAGGTGGGGGGCGTGCGGAGGGGGAGAGCGGCGTTGTTTGTTTCCATCACACACATTAAAATCGATGGTGTTTGCTCATCTGGCGGAATGACAACTCATTCCTCTGGACAGGCTGGCTTCACAATTGCCCGTTCAAGGGGAAATCTGATAAGAAACAATAGCCTGGTCTTCGGGAGCATTAAACCGTTGTATTCTAATTTAAACTTCAGGCGCACCAACTGTCTGATTTGTCTTCTCCTTTAGTGTGTGTGTGTGTTTTTTCTCCCCTCGCATTATTGATTTTTGATTCTTTCTTTTTTAAAAAAGAAAGAGATCCTCAAAACCAACAGGCCTGATGAGAAAATTCAGTAAAGTTATCACAGACTGTCTGAAAAGGCAGAGTCCAATGCACACAGCTTGGGCAACATTCAGATGTCAGGAAAGAAGGAATTGCCAGGCACTTCCCAAGGCCCTTGGGAGGGAAGAGGAAAGGGCAGAGCAGACCTGGGGCCTGGTTGTCCTGCTGCTGGGGACTTGCAGGCCATCTGGGGTGAGGCTAGTCATTGGGCTGTAAGAGGAAGTTTGCATCCATTCTGCCCAAACACACAGCTCAGAAGTGATAGAAAAAATTAAAAAAAAAACACCATGCAGAATAATAATAGTAACGATCAACACAATCCTGATGCTGGGTGAAGTGCTACCGTTTTCCCTGTTCTTTCAATGCATTACTTTATTTAGAATCACGGAATTATAGATCATTGTGCAGGAAAGAATGGTAGAGAACAGCTAGTTCAAACCGTGCTTTTGGCAGATGAGGAAATTGCAGCCAAAAGACATGAGGTGGCTTGCTGAAACACTCACCCTCACCCCTAGAACAGCCCTGCGCAGGTGGCAGGACAAGCAGGTGTACTTGTGTGTTTTCTAGACCTGCTATGTAGCAGACGCTCTGTTGGGCTCTGAGCATATCATGGTGAGCAAGGCAAAGCTGACCTTGGCCTTCACAGAGCCTAGGGGTTGGGGGAGGAGGCAGATAGGTAACTACTCCACGTGGTATTGACCATGGCAGGTTACTATGCAGCCTCCCACAGACTAGGATAAACCAGAGACGTTTCTTGGACCAAATGACATCTGTAGGAGGAGCATGTTACAAAGAGCTTGAGTTGGCCAGGTGAACCGTGGAGCTGGAGCCTGGGCATGAGGGTAAAATAGGCAGGAAAAGCTGATTCTCTCCCCAGACTTAGCTTCTGAGGGATGGAAAAGGGTCTAGTTCCAAGTGCTTTCAGCACAGTGACCATGGAGCCAAGAACAGTGTGATTCACTGTGTAGCACCTTTCGTGTTATAGTCATGACAGCCGTGGGCAGAGCATATGGAAGTTATACCAAGAAGAAACTGAGTCATTGAAACAGCTCAGTGGCATCAGACAGTTGAGTAGAGCCTGGGTGGAGAACAGATCTGCTCTCTGAGGGACAGTTAAATAAAAGTGCAAAAAAGCTACAAATCTGGGTTGGGTGAAAAAAAAAAAAATGTCAGGCAAGTGAAACATCAAATTCTGGTTGGCCCAGGTGTGAAGTGATTGTGGTTTGGGGTCCCTGTGCCATTCACAAGATTCACAAGAGGAGCATTAGGAGTTGACAGGATTCAGAATACTAGAATTGCAAAGAAGAAACTTCATGACCTACGAGGATATGTATATGAGTTCAGGACAGGATCCTGACCCTGTTTTTGCATACACATAGAATCTGCAGTTCTCCTAAGAGGCATTATGAAACCTTTAAAATAAAAGAAAATTTAAATAGAATCAATTTAAATCAATTTTACTTTAAAAAATTCATGCACGGTACTTTTAAGAAATGGGAAGAATGCAGAAATGAGCCATCTGTAGCCTCCCAGAGAGGCTATGAATCTTGCCTGTTTTGTATGCAGTGCAGGATTTAGGTGGATCGCCGCCCGGCAGGTAAGAGAGGACTTTGGCTAGGCTGTGAAGGGTGCAAGGCACCCTCCTTCCTCACCCTCACCTGCAGAAGCCCAGGAACAGGGCTTTCTCCCTGAAGCTTCCTGGATCGTCTCTGCCTTGGGATGCTGGAAGAGGAGAACTGGGGGATCATGCCATGTGTCACTGGGCCCATCTTCAATGCTGGGTTCCCTGGCCTTGTTTTTACATCATCTTACTTTTAAAGGGATATTTCAATTGTATGAGGACTTTCTCCCTGACCTGTCATCTTGGTGAAGTGGAGAACCCTGGGCTTTGCCTCCCAGCTCTCCTACTGCTTCCTGTGCTGTGAGCAGTCTGCTGAAGTACCCCAGGTTTGGGGTTAGTAGTTAAGTGGAGAAAATGCCTTCTTCACAGTACTGCTGCAAAATTTGATTGGCTTAGGGGATGCAAAGTGTCTGAGACAGTGTGTGGCACACACTAAATGCAAGGTAGAAGTATTATTTTTCCTACTTCCCATCTTGCAATGTTAACATGGAAATTTGGAAGACTTCCTGTGTATAGATGAAGAAACCAAGCCCCAGAAAGGTATAGTCCTCCGGTATTGTCACACTAATCCTGTGACTAGAGATGGGACTGGAAAAATAAGTTTTTCTAACACTCTGGTCCATGGTCTTTCATCCAGCTTCTCACGCCTCCTATAAGAGAGGGCTGGTGACTCTGTAGGTATCCACGCTGGTTTCCATTGGAAGCACTCATGGAGACATTCACTGGCACTCAGTTTTATTCTAAATTTTGGTTTCAAAATTGTTTTTAAGGTAACATCAAGAACTATTTCTGGAGGCTGGGGAAAGAGGTCATTTTCCAGATAATCTCTTCGAGCAAACAGAAACACAGTGCTTGCAGGAGACCTGCAGTATGCAGCCAACAGGACTCGAGTACCCTGGGCTGGTGTTAATGAGGAGCCAGGATTCCAAGGCAAAGGCACAGCCCCAGGCTTCCAGGCCTGGAATATGAGGAAGATCCCAGGCAGGAAAACCTTCCAAGTAGGAACAGGAGTCTGGGCTCCTTTAGTAGTCTCCAGTAGTGGGCTGTCAGGGGGAAGTAGCTGAGGAAATTGTTGGAGTCAGGGTGGTTTGAGGGACATGAGTGGGTTTGAGGGACATGAGTGGGCTACCAGTAAGGAACCCTGGGTCTCTATCATTGACAAACTGGGCCAAGCAACTTGACCTGCTTTATGTAAAATGTGCCTCATCATACCTGCTCTGCCAACCTCAGAAAGTCAATGATGAAATGAACGGGCAGGTAAAAGGGCTTTTGCAATGTGAAATTATGATGTATAGCTCTGTGGGGTATGCAGATTGGGGTAGGGAACTCACTGACCTTGAAAAAAAGGAGGCCAACCTTGGACAGTGTGGATAGGAATATATCACACTGTTGAGTAAGGGGAAATATAGACTCAATCTTCAGGGTTTTAAGAAATTAATTACTCATGGATCCTAAGATGAAGCACATATGGC